ACCAGATATGATCCTCAACCTAGTTTCTAGATCCTCTCATTTACTTAGTTCCAGATCTGCCTTTTAATATACCCACCAGATATGATCCTCCCTAGTTTCTAGATCTCTCTCATTTGCTGTAGTTCCAGATCTACCTTTTAATATACCCACCAGATATGATCCTCCAAACTAGTTTCTAGATCTCTCTCATTTACTGTAGTCTCAGATCTGCCTTTTAATATACCCACCAGATATGATCCTCCAACCTAGTTTCTAGATCCTCTCATTTACTGTAGTCTCCAGAGCTGCCTTTTTAATATACCCACCAGATATGATCCTCCAACCCTAGTTTCTAGATCCTCTCATTTAGTAGTCTCCAGATCTGCCTTTTTATACCCACCAGATATGATCCTCCAACCTAGTTTCTAGATCTCATTTACTGTAGTCTCCAGATCTGACTTTTTAATATACCCACCAGATATGATCCTCCACCCTAGTTTCTAGATCCTCTCATTTACTGTATTCTCCAGATCTGCCTTTTAATATACCCACCAGATATGATCCTCCACCCTAGTTTCTAGATCCTCTCATTTACTGTAGTCTCCAGATCTGCCTTTTAATATACCCACCAGATATGATCCTCCACCCTAGTTTCTAGATCCTCTCATTTACTGTAGTCTCCAGATCTACCTTTTAATATACCCACCAGATATGATCCTCCAACCTAGTTTCTAGATCCTCTCATTTACTGTAGTCTCCAGATCTACTTTTTTAATATACCCACCAGATATGATCCTCCAACCTAGTTTCTAAGATCTCTCATTTACTGTAGTCTCCAGATCTACCTTTTTATACCCACCAGAATGATCCAACCTGTTTCTAGATCCTCTCATTTACTGTAGTCTCCAGATCTGCCTTTTAATATACCCACCAGATATGATTCCAACCCCTGGTTTCTATATCCTCAGTAGTCTCCAGATCTGCCTTTTAATATACCCACCAGATATGATCCTCCACCCTAGTTTCTAGATCCTCATTTACTGAAGTCTCCAGATCTACCTTTTAATATCCAGATATGATTCCAACCTAGTTTCTAGATCCTCTCAGTCCCCAGATCTGTTGATCCTCCAACCTAGTTTCTAGATCCTCTCATTTACTGTACTCCAGATCACCTTTTTAATATACCCACCAGATATGATCCTCCACCCTATTTTCTAGATCCTCTCATTTACTGTAGTCCCCAGATCTGCCTTTAAATATACCCACCAGATATGATCCTCCACCCTAGTTTCTAGATCCTCTCATTTACTGTAGTCTCCAGATCTACCTTTTAATATACCCACCAGATATGATCCTCCACCCTATTTTCTAGATCCTCTCATTTACTGTAGTCCCCAGATCTGCCTTTAAATATACCCACCAGATATGATCCTCCAACTGAAGTTTTCTGATCCTCTCATTTCGTAGTCTCCAGATCTACCTTTTTTAATATAAAATGATCCTCCACCCTAGTTTCTAGATCCTCTCATTTACTGTACTCCAGATCTACCTTTTAATATACAGATATGATCCTCCAACCTAGTTTCTAGATCCTCTCATTTACTGTAGTCTCCAGATCTACCTTTTAATATACCCACCAATATGATCCTCCAACCTAGTTTCTAGATCCCTCATTTACTGTAGTCTCCCAGATCTGCCTTTTAATATACCCACCAGATATGATCCTCAAAGTTTCTATATCCTCTCATTTACTGTAGTCTCCAGATCTGCCTTTTAATATACCTCAGATAGATCCTCCACCCTAATTTCTAGATCCTCTCATTTACTGTAGTCTCCAGATCTACCTTTTAATATACCCACCAGATATGATCCTCCACCCTAAACTGTAGTCTCCAGATCTGCCTTTTAATATACCCAATGATCCCACCCTAGTTTCTAGATCCTCTCATTTAAAATCTGCCATACCCACCAGATAATCCTCCAATTCTAGATCCTCTTATATACTGAAGCCCCTCCACTATAAAAAATAATCTCCAGATCTGCCTTTTAATATACTAAACAGATTTGCTCCTCCACCCTCGTCTCCAGATCTTCCTTTTTAATTTATTCACCAGGTCTGCTCCTTCACTGTAATCCCCAGATTTCCCCTTCACACTAGCCTCCAGATTTGCCCTTTCAATGTACTCACTAGATCTGCCTTTTCACTGTAGTTTACAGATCTGACCTTACTTCGGATCTGCCTTCCCCTTACTGTAATCTACTCCAGCCTTTACTATGATCAACCGCATAGTCCCAGTGTTCAATTATATTGTATGGATAAAGACAAGATCTCCAGTAATATTATAGAATATGTAGACATGCTCTCCATATTTAAGGTTACTGTCACTGATAACTAAACTCATCAGAGTAGTAATTCTGCTTTGAAGCACAAAAATGCTTTTCGACTCAAACGCTGTTGAGGTGCATAAGGTTCAGTTTTTTCCTTTGAGGCCATTATGTCTTAATTCCAAGGATTTCGATCATTTCTTCTGATGTTCGGTCTGAATATAAAAGAATACGATTCCCTGTCAACGCCAGCTTCACCCTGTCAATAAACAATGCGCAAAGTCAATCCCTTGAAGTAGTGGGACTAAATTTACAAGATCTTGTGATTCTCATATAGCCAGCTTTATGTTGGATATTCGCAGGTGAGCATCGAAAGGGCTTTGTGCATTTTTATCCAAGATGAAAAACAAAGGCAATTGTGACTGAGGAAGATCAAAGACAGCTAATGTGCTCTTTGTTAATCATTTCGCCCCATGGAAGGCGGGAATGCCACTAGTGCGCAAAGGGGGGTTACAGGGAGTGAAAGTGAGAGAGAAGATTGACAATAGGCAGGATTGAGGAAAGAACAAAAGATGAACAGGATTCAAGATGGCGATTGACGTTGCATTTACATTTTTGAAGATTGTAGTTTTCAAGGAAGCAATTAAATGGAAGGAAGTTCCACAGACTAGAAGTGCGAGAAAAGAAAATGTTGGGGTAGAAGTAGCGGATGCATTTAGCTATTTCAGTATTAAACGGATGGGACCTAAATGCCAATCTAGTATCACGCTACCCGACAGCATAAGAACTACCCTGGGTACTTGGCAACAGCTCCGACAAACTAAGATAGAAGGGTACAAGAGGATAACAACATTCAGAAAAATCTTCGATCTGCTTACCCTATGTGAAGGGATTATCGGAAAAATACAAATATGTGTCGTCTATATAACATTAGGACGAACTTCAGAAGTGTTTTGACACTTCGCAGACACATCTTCCAAGGAAGACTCAACATAGAGGAGAACATGACTAAGAACTGTGTGTACACCATCCCATGCAGCTGTGGTAAGAAATATAAAGGAGAAACAGGCTAAGGTAAGACTGTAGGAACATCTTAAAGCAGTGACACGAGAGGAAATAGAAAAGTCAGACGTAGCTGAGCACATATGGAGGGAAAAGGGAGATCCCTCTCCTCTCGTGGGATGAAGATGAAATAATAGACAGAGAACATAACTGGAAAATACGAAAACTTAAAGTGTCAGCACATATGCTTAGCCACAAATACCTTCTAAGTAATACAATATGGGAATCAGTAATAGTGCTTGAATAACAACAAAAATTGCAAAAATTTTGCTTTCGTAAAGAATGGTTAAGTTTAGAAGTCCCTCAAATTCATACACTGATCTCCTCAGTGGCCCAGTGGATAAGAGCGTTGGTTGGATCCAGTGACGTGACCCAAAGAGTTGTGAGTTCAATACCTAACTACGGCAGTGTTGAACAGAGAGTTGAATTAAAGAATGATAACTGAGACATGCAGAAGAGGGATGGCACGTGGAACTAAAACAATCGAATCCCGGTGGACGAAATAAAGGGTTCGGTTTGAAATTCCAATCACCTGAAGAAGGCCGGAGCGTACAACGGCCGAAACGTCGTGAACACGAGGACAACAGTCCGAACAATGTAAATAATGTAAATTATCACGCTTAAATCCATGTCATCGGCGCACCAGAGAAAAAAGCAGAGCAGTTTCCATGAAAACATTTCCTAAATTGAGGGGGGGGGAGAGTTAAATTAGTTGGCATTATACTGACGAAAACTGCCCAGCTCGCAAAAAAGGTAAACTTTAATTTTTTCGTAGATTAACATTCGCTGAACTTTTCTCTAAACTCGACGTTTTTTTTTTTTTTCAGAATCGAACATATATTGATTTTCATCATTTTAGAAGGGGAGTTCTGTTCGTCATATGAATACAGTATGAAATCAATCCCCATTTCTTTTTTAAGAGTGATCTTTAACTTCGTTTTATTTAAAATGTCAGATTTGAATCTGTGCCCACGCCATTGATAACTGTTTGTATCTGATGTCTTCCTTATTTCCAATGTTAAATAAAATTTTAAATAAGTTTTTTTTTTTTTTGCAAAGCAGATTTATGCATTTCCTTTTTTGGCATTGTCACGGGGTCTCATGCAAAAACATAGGTAAAAATAACGCTTGAAAAAACAAAAAAAAACAGTGATCGATTTGAAACTGTATTTTTATTATGAAAAGGGTACAGCTTTTAAAAACAATGATAAAAAAAAATCAATATTTTTAGATTCTGACAAACATCGTGCTTAGGGAAATGTTTAATGAATGCTAATCAACAAAAATAGTCACAAAAACGTTTGTTTATTTCTAACAATCGGACCGGTTCCTCCATTTTTTTCCAGTTAGTTTTCTATGATTGATTTCTTGAGAGATTCGTTTTTTACGGCTTATCAACCCTTTGCAGGTTATTTAAAACCAGAAAATAATTTTAATTTGTAAGAGTTTTTTTTAAGCTAATAATGGTTTGGTAATACAAGACTTATTAATTAACCCATAGCTGGGATGAGAAGAGATGAATTCTTACCTTTCCTAAAGTTATTTGCGCGTAATTGAATATAACGAGACCAAAGGGATTGGAACTCGGCTCGACGATTAAATAGTCCCGTCACACCACCCGCACATCCAAGCTAACAGACCCTGGTATTCCCAAGTGATAACCCATCTAAGCACTGACCAGGCTTGTCGTTGATTAACTTCGGTGATTTTATGGGAACCGGCGTTTCAAAATTAGTTTTCTAGATTTGCGTAATTATGTTGAATGGATCTGAAATTGATCCAATTTTCAAGTTTCAAGCAGATAACCAAACATAAAATATTTTGGTAAAGGGCTTTCTGGTCGCGTATGGAAATTTTACGTACCACTTTGTATGGTGATTTTCTAAGCATAGCAAAAGTATAGGGTAACCATTGTGGATCGAACTCACTATTCAGCTCGCTAACCATTACACTACGTCGAAATGCCCATGTGATTTTCTAAGCATATCTTCGATGCAGCAAAAAGACTGAAAGTTTGAGGCACCCAGTGGTGATCAAACTCACTGTTTAGTCATAATTGCAGTACCTCTTTGTATTAATTCTCATAATGTCCTTAAAATAAAAATAAAAATTTTCTTTTCAATTGGTTTCTTATTTTTGTTTCTTCAGTCAGGCCATTTAAGTCATCTCGGCAAAATAATACCGTTAGGAAAGGTATGAATCCTCTTCTCTCAACAGCTATGGGTAAATAGCAGGAAAGACCGGGTTCTATAGCCTTGGATAAAAAAAAACAAAAAAAAAACTGGTCTACCGCAGAAAGAAATAGCAACGTCCTGGGGTAACATAACTGGCTGACTGAGTCAAAATAATAAATGAGGATGTAATATGAACAGGCCCAAACCGAGATTTTAAAAGAAATAATAACATTCCCATCAGCAATAATGCCTCTCCACGTGTTCCTTTTCTTATATGTAAACTGCTATGGCCTCTTGGGAAAGATAGTGGAGTAGTTTCTATTGCCTCCTGTGGGATTTCAGGTTCAGAGTTTTCTTGGAATTATTTTCTTGAATTTTCCTGGATTCCAGCCTGTCTAAATAAACCAGTATAACTTGCTATATAACCCGTATCTAGAAGGAGAACAAGAATTCATAGCTTTCATAAGGGTAACAGCACAAAAGTGAACTCCACAGACTATCTCTGAATTTGAACTTTGGCTTGTCGATTCCATTTTTCGTGTAGATAATCATTACGCTATCCCACATTTGATTACTTTCTGTAATTTACCATTACAGATCCGGCAAGAAATGCCAAGTTAAAGTCTCCATTTCTCTTCGCACCAATAAAATCAAACCGGCGACTAATAATAAACATTGTTGGCTACTTAACATGGACGTCCGTAGTAGTTGGGCGAAGTATTTCAGGCGTGGGTGGGGTTTAAAAGCAAGTAAACAAAGAGATTACCATTAATACGACATTTCTAGTCAGCACCATCAGGCAGCAACGAGCGATAAATGACTCGGTCCGTGTCCGACGCGGGAGAATTGCGCCAGTGTTTAAGACAAACTGTATTCTTATGCAGACCAAGAAGAATTGTATTGAATTGCAAAGAATTGACCAAATGAGAGCCTTTAACATGATTTATATTTATTTATATTTGGCGTTTTTTTTTCAATCCAGTCCAATTCATAAACCGGGACTTGCTCAAGCCTCGTCACGGCCACATCACATTAAAACACCGGCTCCCGTACGATCAATGAAGTTAAGCAAAGTCTAGCCCTGATTAGTATCCAGATGGGTGACCGCCTGTGAATACTAGGTGCTGTAAGATTGGAAATGCTGGTAGTATAATGGATAGTACCTCGGAATTTCTTAATCGAGAAACCGACATCCAGTTCCCATCTGGTTCGTTATATTCACTTGACGCGTCAATATCCACGGGAAAGGTATCAATCCACCTCTTCTCACCCTCACCTATGGGTTAATTAGTAAGACCTGTATCATTAAAATGTTATTATATTCCCAGTTAGATATCTTTAATCTATAAAAGGCAGGATGTGTGTGTGTGTGTAACGAATGCAGGACCGCAATTTTTGACGGATTTGCACCAAAATTTATATGCACATGCTCCAAGTTAGCGGGAAGGCCAAGACCGGCGTTGCATTTCCCAACTTTCATCGATATTGGAAATAACCGATTTTTTCATGCTTCTACGGCAGTTTTCATGTAGTTTGCAGCCATTTTCTACTGGCCAGAGTGAGAGCCTATAGCTGGCTGCCACGAATAGGCAGGAAGATTCTATTGGCTAGGGTGAGAGCCAACAGCTGACTGACACGAATGTTAACTCGCATGCTAGCATGCAAAAAAAATCGATAGCTGCATTCGTCACAAGTAGGAAAAATTTAAATCTGGATGGCACTTTACTCCAATTGGCTCATTCGCTTGCTTAAACTCAACGTTGATTCTGATTTGGGTGTGAAAAAGTATTTGTTGTTAACATTCTTTTTTCATTCGGTTTTTCCAGTTACGAGTCCTTTTTTTTTAAAGCTGATCGTTTTGTGTTCATTTTGTTTAGTTCTTTTTTCGTAACAAATTTAATGTTTAGAATAGAGCTTAGAAAAAATTCGCAGTGTGAGATAGGCAAGAAGTAAGGCATGT